AGAGTTATGCGGTGAACCTCTTAATCTCAGTCGATTCACTAGAAAGTGAAAGTAAAAACTGACGGCGCTTTCGGCATCTGACGCTGCATTAACAGCGCATATTCACTCAGAGACGAGGAGAGACGAATCTACTTCATATGCTGATAACAGTATATAGCTAAATGTTTTAATGTAGGCCTACTCCTTTAATATTTCTCTTGTGGCCCGAACATAGGCTAGTGGGGAAAAAAAAAATAAAAATAAATAAATAAAGAGAGAAGAAACGTATTTCGTGTTAAACAGGTTTTTTTTTCTTTTTTAAAAACGTCGGTGCTTGAAATAAAGCTTTTTAATTGATGATTTGCAGTGTTAATAATTTTAATTATAGGCCTATAATTCATTGTATAATAAACCTGTTTTGAAAGACCTTTTTAAAAACATTTTCAATGAGGAATAAGCTAGCCTAATCTTTATTATCCTCGCACCGCGTCAGTTATGCGGTGATGCGCTATTAAATTATTGCGGGGCAAATTAATTGTAATATTAATTTAATAATAAAAGTAACTTATTGATAATAGGCCTAATAGGCTAATAAGAAGAATGTAACAGGCCTATGTTAATTGAAAATGGCATATTAGATATAGGCTAACTAAAGTGTAGGCCTAGGCTATAAAATTATTTTATTCAGAAATGTTATGTTTGTTATTTTTTTTTATTTGTTAATTCGTTATTTAAATTAACAGGCCTACAAATTAGGAACTGGTGCAGTTAATCGCCGGCGTCAGTCACAAAATTTATTTAAAAAATAAATAAATAAAAATAAAAAAAATAGGCTAATCTTTGTGAGGACGACTGGCAACAGCTGGTCTTAAATTCTTTAGACACCGCACTCCAAACAACTTTGAACATCGAAAACACTGACTGAGCTCAAATGACATTCATAATCGGCCTGACAGTGTTTCCCGGCTTCACAGAATGAACCGGTTCGCGCATGGAACTGAAAGTCTTACCGTTACTTGTGGACTGATGGATGGGCTTTCTCCCTCGTCAGTGCAAGTTTTTAAAAGTCTTTTTTTTTTTACACAATTATGCATTGCTGCTGTTTTTCTAACATTTTCTAACACAGCTGCAAATTACAGTCCAACTGAATGGGTGAACACGCATTAATTTACATGCGAGACATGCCAGAAACATGTTTGTTTCATCAGAGTGGGCGGGCCTGTGCCCGTCAGGCCCGTCCGCTGCTTACGCCCCTGCTGCTAGTAAATTCCACAAATAATTCTAAATATATTACAAGTGACACACTAAATTTGATGTAAAATTTTTTAAATAATACAAATACACTGAAAAAAATAAGAGTTTAGGAATTACATTGAAACAATTTTCACTCAGAAATTGCTTGTAAGTTTTGCAAAAATTAAAAACGAGAATTTTGAATTCAGTGTGAAAATTTGAATTAGAAAGACTGAAATACACTGAAAAAAAAATATTGGTGTAGGATATATTTTGAAACAAGTTTCATTCAAAAATGGATAGTAAATTACACAAATAATTACAAAGACATGTGACACGTTAAATTGAATGTGAAATTTTTATAGTATAGAAAGACAGAAATACACTGAAAAAACTAGTGTAGGATTTACTTTTAAACAATTTTAACTTAGAAATTGCTAGTAAATTACACACAAACAAACCCGTAACATTGAATTCAATGTGAAAGTTTGAAGTAGAAAGACTGAAATAAACTGATTTAGAATTTACTTTGAAACATGTTTCAAACAAAAATGGCCAGTAAATTATACAAATAGCCTAATTACAAAGAAATGGAAAGTAAGACACTAAATTAAAACTGATTTTTTATTTTAATTTTTTGTAGAAAGTCCGAAATAGTATTTTCTTGTAAAACATACTTTGTTTTATTTACAACTTCAAACAATCAGTCTTAAACCCTTCACTACCGACTAGTGACCATTTACACGTTTAAGAGCCCTAAAAATTGTGCATTGGTCAAACATTTAATATAATGAAATATTTTAAATAGGATGTTTGGGGAATTGGGTGAGACGTTATGGATTTGTATTTACTGTTTTGAGAATACGAGGCATAGTTTCAAGAAATGTGTTTAAGCAATCGAGAAAAACTGTAAATGTTTACAAAAATTGTTTTCATGCATGCATGAAGTGCATGAAGTGCTCAGAGATGTGCAGGTCATGTACGTTCATGGCTGAACATGTCAGATGAGCTGTAGGCATTGAGATGGACGGGAATGTGAACAGATAAATCGTCCACTGGTTTAGCAGATTTACTTAGTCGTGACAGTATAGGTGAAATATTGGATTACCACTTTGCAGATGCAATATTGGTGAGCTGTTTTATGATGAGTCTCATGTTAATGTGCGTAGGTTAAATCTTGCAGCTGTACTTTCCAAACTGTATATTTTGACATTTGTTGCGTTTATATTGTTTATTTTCAGTGGTAATAGACATTATGCCATAAATGCTGTTGATGGAGCTGCACTTACTGAACACAGAAGATTCCTTAAAGTAAATAGTAAAAAGTACATCTTTAGCAAAGAGACAAATCCATAGCCTGAAAGACCACCAGTAATGTTACTGCAAAGAGATCTGATGGACGAAGAGTTTTGTGTGATCAATTGCTTTACATTAATATAATGCATATATTTATACTCCACAGTTGTCTGACTGCTTAGTATCACACTTGATTATAACATGCACATCTGACTGGGTTATAATGTCATTACACTGCTTTATCAAAGAGCTGAATTTAAAGAAATTTCTAAGAAATGTTCCAGGTGTAATATATATATTTTTATATTAAATTTAAAATAATTTTTTTGCACTTAAATTTGGAAAGTGTTGCAGAACAGTGTAATTTTAGTATTTTTTTTACTATTATTTTTACTATAATTTTTATATTATTGTAGCTTTTAGTTTTAAGTTTTCATTTTATTTGTTTAAATTTTAGTACTTTAGTTTGAGTTTTAGTAATTTTGTTACGTGTGTCTGTCATTTTTAAAGTTTTTTATATTGCTACGTACAGTAGCTTAAATTTATTTTCATTTAAATTTTAATTTATTTTCATTTCAGTTTTAATCATTTTAGTATGCAAGTTTGTTTCCACCATGGAATAAAAAAATTAATAAAATTGGTATTTGCGACTTGTCTCACAATTCTGATTTGTTTCCCTGCAATTCTGAGAAAAAAGTCAGAATTGCGGGATATAAACTCTGACTTTTTTACTTTGTTTCGCAACTGCAAGTCTGTATCTCCCAATTCTGTGTTTATATCCCACAATTCTGACTTTTTTCTCAGAATTGCAAGAATAAAAATCAGAATTGTGAGATAAAAAGTCACAAAATTGCTTATTAAGTATATATTTTTAGCTCCCATATTTTAGTGCTTCAACTTCTTAAATTCAGTTAGTTGCCAAGGCAATCATTTCTAGTTTTTAAGTTTTTCATCTGATATTTATTTTATTTTATTTCAATTTTATTTCAATTACTAAAAACAATTTCACTGGTGCATAAATTACAGACTCCACTTTTAAACTGTGGACAGCAGCTATGCTCTGTGGACAACAGTTTTGCCTCATTTGTCATAAAAAAATATGAAAATAAAACAGGCTGACTAAAATAATAAGGACTAAGTAATAGGGACTAAATGGGGACATTGTTGTACATTGGCAGTCAATAGAGCTTTTATTTAATTATTGGAATATTCCTTTAAGTTGTCTGGAATACTAAAGAATGAAGGAATGTATGTGATTTAAAAATGAAATGCAGCCATTTATTATTATGCTGGAATGCATTCACTATATCATTAACAGTTACATCATCATAATATCATCAGTGCATTCTGACAGGTTGACAAAACTGACATTTTCAATGTAAATGAAGAATAAGCGTCAATATGCACAGGCAGTTCAGTGATGCTTTGCTGTTGATTTGAGTGTCTAGAGGTCAAATTCATCAATGCTTTGAGCAATAATGCACATAACAAACAGCAGCGCTTAGATGAACATACATACATACATACATGTGTAGAAAAACATACACAAAGATAATGTTGATGTGCGTCATGAGTACAGAAGTTGCACATTTCCCTGTTTGAACGGCCTTCACAGCAAATACTAATCATCATATTCATTTTCTCCAGCAAGAGCATCGATCTGAGACCCTCAAAGTTTATAAAACACAAATCATGTGTCCTCACAACAGACTCGAACAGAATCTTTTTGATATACAGTATAAGTTTGTGCACAAGATGCATGTCTTCAGACGTCTATAGCAAGTCCAGATGTGTGTAAATATCATGCCACAGACTGTAAGTGTTGTGAAATTGTAGTTCATTTTAAGCAAACTCCTATCACAGAGAACACACTACTTTAGCTTCGACCATCTTTATTGACTAGCAATGTGTCTGTATGAAGCAATGCATGTCTGGGTTAAACTTAGAAATGCCAAAGCACTTGGTTATTGTTTTTTCACACTTGGCTCATTTTTAGGGGTCTGAAAGCAGTTTACGAAACTGAAAAAGAAAATGAAATTAAATTTTTATATATGCATACATATTAATAAATAATTTAATTCAGTATGTATGCACGCACATATATATACTGTATATATATATATATATATATATATATATATATATGTATGCATGCATAAATACTATAAAAAAATTATTTATAAATATGTATCCATATATAAAAATTTAATTTTACAATTGAAATTCCTTTTCATTTGAAGCGAGTTTGTTACTTTTAAACTCAACTGTGAAACACACTATGAAAGCGTCAATAGAATTAATGTAAATGTATGTGTGTGTTTGCTATAGCTGGGTTTCTCTCTGATCTATTCTCACGGCTCTGTGACCTTTCACCCTTGACCTCTGTGACCTTTCACCAGCAGAGTACTGATCATCACTGTGTGTGTAAGTAATGCACATCTCCAGCACATCAAAGCCTTCGTAAATATAGCCCGTGTGTGAGTGTGAGTGTGTGGCTGATGTCTATAACAGATAAAGGTCATGCATTTATTACCCGTCAGACCTTCACAGAAAGTCCGAGTGGCTTTAGTCCAGCTCCTATTGATAGCTATGAACTCACATCTACTTGTCATGCAGTCGACTGCTGTGGTCAAATTTCTACACTAACTACTCTAGTATCCTGTAGAAACGGCTTGTGTGTGGTTTTCTTCTGTTGCTCCATTGATTGGCTGAGAACTCATTGTGTTGATTGTGTGCCGGTAACGGGTCGGTCTCGGTCTCGCTCTAGTTCGGACGGGACAGGCCGAGCGCTGCGCTGATGCAGGCCAGAATCAGGACAGCGCTGGCGGCGACCGCTGCGCCGCTGGACCGGTAAACCACGCGTCCGTTACGCGGCTGAACGGGTCTGAACGTTCCCACCATTGGTTTCCCATCGTGGAACTTCAGGGTGGAAAAACCCCGCAGCTGTTTGAAGACACATAATAATCAGAGGTTTATCATGCAGGTTCAAAATGATGACAGGAAGTTCATTTTTTGGGTCAGCTGGCCCTTTAAGTGCTTACTTCTGAGGTCATAATAGAACCAACAGTCGGTTCCTGAAGTAAAAATCCCATTCATTTTCTCCATTTTCTTCATTTTTAAAGATAACTTGTTAACCTTTCAAAACACACCTACTATGAGCTACAAGGTTATTATTCGATGGTATATGCTTTTGTTGTAGCTGTCATTTAGCATTATTTGACTTATCTTTTACAGAATTGGTGGAATTCCTTTTGAAAGCTGTTCATTACCCACGATTCTGCAAAATAATATAAATCTAAACAAGCAAATCATGCCAAAAGAACTCTTTAGTGTCTCGCTACACTCTCAAAATACTGTACACAGATTTTATATATATATATATATGTGTGTGTGTGTGTGTGTGTGTGAGACCCTGGACCACAAAACCAGTCATAAATGTCAAGCCGAGATACAACTATTTGAAAATCTGGAATCGGAGGGTGCAAAAAAATCTAAATATTGAGAAAATCATCTTTAAAGTTGTCCAAATGAAGTTCTTAGCAATGCATATTATTCACCAAAAATTAAGTTTTGATATATTTACGGTAGGAAATTTACAAAATATCTTCATGGAACATGATCTTTACTTAATATCCTAATGATTTTTGGCATAAAAGAGAAATCTATAATTTTGACCCATACAATGTATTTTTGTCTATTGCTACAAATATACCCCAGCGACTTAACACTGCTTTTGTGCTCCAGGGTCACATATTGCTATTAATTTAAAATATATATTGTTTATATATCTGGGTTATTGTAGCTAACTGAAATTAAAACCATAAATCAAAACATTTTGTATTTTTTACATTTTATATCAAAAACGAACTATTTTATTTCAGCTAGTTGCCAAAGCAACATTTCTCATTTTCATTTACTTAAACTCGATGTACTAAAATAACTAAACTAAAACGGAAATAAAAAAGCAATAAAAACGATAAAGACATAAAATTTTTTACAAAAACACACAACAAAATTACTAAAACTTTAACTAAAATAAAAATTTAAAAAGTGGAAAATATAAAAATTAAATCTAATTCAATATATTAATAAAACTTTGATACTAAAATAACACTATTTTATATGACAATCAAATAAAAAATGATGGTGACATATAAAAGTATTAATTTAAACTTCTTGATAGTATATTACAAAAAATAATATAATAATATATAAATAAAATATATAAATTATATATATATAAACATCACCCACACTATTGTATGATTCACTGTACTATCTAGATTCTGAAGTTTCGGTCAAATAAATGCTGTTTTCATACATAAAATGTGCATAAAATGGTTATTTATATACGTAAACATACATGACTGTAACGGCAAAAGATAGCAATGTAGATGCTGTGGGAAAAAGGAATAAAACCTTCTCTCCTCCATCATGTTTAATGTTTATGGCCCGTTCAACTCTGGAATCAAAATGATCTCTGAGTTTAAATACGACTACAGTTTTTTGTATTTAAGATAATGGCATGAAGGCAGCTTCAGTCGTACCTGTTCTCTGTCGAGGGGAATGGGGTTTTCAAACACCGTCCACACCACAGCCTCCGTGCAGCCAGGTGTGGTTAGAGAGCCGTCATACCGGTAATAGCTAGTCATGTTGACTTCAGGCAGAATGAGCTGATTCAGAGAGATCTTACGGAGCGTCGTGTTTCCATCTGCACAAATGAAAAAGAGTTATTCAGACAGTCGTGTGATGTGAGCGCATGAATGTGTGTTCAGGGAAGCAAATTTGTTGAAGAATGTCTCTTCTGCTCACCAACGCTGCATTTATTTGATCTAAAGATACAGCAAAAATTTTGAAATATTTTTGCTACTTAAAAGTATTGTTTTCTATGTGAATATCTGTTAAAATGTAATTTATTCCTGTGATCAAAGCTGTATTTCCAGCATCATTACTCCAGTCTTCAGTGTCACATGATCTTCAGAAATCATTCTAATATACTGATTTGCTGCTCAAGAAACATTTCTGATTATTATCAATGTTGAAAACAGTTGTGCTGCACAATATTTTTGTGGAAACCGTGATACATTTTATTTTTCAGGATTCTTTGATAAATAAAAATAAAAAAAGTACAGCATTTATTTGAAATCGTAACACTATAATTGTCTTTGCTGTCAATTGAATGCATCCTTGCTGAATAAAAGCCTTTGTTTCTTTCTTTCAAAAACTAAAAAATCTTACTGACCCCAAGCTTTTGAACGATAGTGTACTTTTAAATATTTCTATAAATGCATAAAGTTTCCTATTATGGTTAGTATTAGTCTATAGTAATTATATCTAGCTTTATTTGTCTAAAAATATCTATTAAGTTTCCATGTAGATTGCAATTTTTTTTACATTTTTTTTATTAAAATTAATTTTAATTCATTTCTCCCTAGATGTTATTTAGGGAGGACAATGACAAAGATGTTTTTATAATTAAAATAATGTTAACTAATTTCACAAATTAAAAGTGTGCAATTTCTTTGCTACTAACAGCACCAAGCGGAACAAAATCATGAAAAATAAAGATAACAATTGTTTCCAGATAGTCCTATTGTCCCTCAAGCTCGCGTCATTGCTTGAGTCATAATCTGGCATGTCGTGTCGCTCAAACAAACAGATCAATGTTATGAAAGCGTCAGTGTTTCACTCTTCAGGAAGTCAAACTACTGAGTCTCTGAATATTAAACTGACACAAACTAGTTGAACATTGAATACAAGACACACTTCACTCTTAAAGGGATATTCCAGGATATATTCATCTTGATCAGCACGCTTTTGATCAATGCAGACAATGCATTCACAGTGATTTAAATAGAGTAAAGAATCAGAGCACCATGCATAGATGTTTAAAATATACAAATGCACATATTCAAAATGATTGTCTGTGTTGATCGACAGCATGTCACATATCATGGAATATTGCTGAAATATTGCAGAGATGTTGCTCAGATTGAGGTTGTTTTCTTACTTGTATTCTGGATGCTGCGCAGGCCGTGTGTGAAGAGATCGTACTTTCTGTTTGCGCTGCTCGACTCCTGAAAGTTTGAAGCAATGTTGATTTTTTCAAAGTCATCTCTGAGCAAACCGAACAAACTCATATTTCTTGATTTTAAAGCACAAGCGTTTCATACCTCGTAGAAGAATCCCAGCACCGCGACTCCAGAAGGATCTCTGAGTGCGTCTTCAAGTCTGTTGTGTCTTTGTTTCATGTGCACTATATGCAGCTGGTGAGAGAGTAATATACATAATAATACATCTTTTTGTTTATTTGCAAAAAATAATAATTTGGCTTAATAAAACTAAAAAATATATATATATAAATAAAAACTTTCTATTACAAAAAGGGTTACATAATAATACATCTTTTTGTTTATTTGCAAAAAATAATAATTTGGCTTAATTATTTAATTGGGGGGGCATGTTAGCCATAGTTATTGGCATCCCTAGAAATTCTTATGAGTAAATTATATCTGAAGTATATTCCCATTCATATTTAAATTTTTTTAGAGGTGACTAGGAGCATGAAATTGTCTAGCCATGACTTCCTGTTCCACAGGATTATAAATATGAGCAACACAAAGGCCAGATTCCCTTAATCATCCATCACAAGGAGTAAAACCAAAGAATATAGTTCTGATGTGCAGAACATGATTGCTGAGCTTCACAAAATGGAAAGTGGCTTTAAGATCCCCATTTCCACCATCAGGGCAATAATTAAGAAGTTCAATTTAACTAAAGATGTTACAAATCTGCCTGGAAGAGGACGTGTGTTTATATCGTCCTGATGCACGCTGAGGAGGAGAGTTTGAGTGGCCAAAGACTCTCAGAAGATCACAGCTGGAGAATCACAGAGATTAGTTGAGTCTTGGGGTCAGAAAACCTAAAAAATATATCAAACGGCCCCTACATCACCACATGTTGTTCAGGAGGGTTTCAAGAAAAATTCTCCTCGCTCATCCAGAAACAAACTCCAGCATATTCCGTTATCAGACACGACTGGAACTCAAACAGGACTGGCTTCTATGCTCCTAAAAAATAGCTTTTTGGCAGCAAACACACCAGATGCATTTGGTGCAAACAGGGATAAAAGTACCCCATGTCCACGGTTAAATATACAGCTGGATCTTTAATGCTGTGGGTCTATTTTTCTGCCGGAGGTCCTGGACATCTTGTTCAGATGCATGGCATCATGGATCCTATCAAATACCAACAGATAAAAAAATCTAAACCTGACTCTGTTAGGAATCTTATAACGGGCCAAAGCTGGATCTTCCATCAGGACAGTGATCCAAAACAAACATCCAAATCAACACAAAAATGTGTCACTGAGCACAAAATGAAGCTTCTGCCACGGCTGTCTCCGTTCCCTGAGCTGAACCCTGTAGAAAATGAGTGAGGTGAACTGAAGAAGCACCAACATGGAGCTGTGAATCTGAAGGATCTGGAGAGACTCTGGATGAAGGAATGGTCTCTTATAATTTATATATTATAAATAAATATATTATATTATTTTATTATCTTATTAAATGTATTATTTAACTTACATTCTGCAAAGGACTAATAATAAGGTTCAAATAATCCATTTAATGTCAAATAACTTTACAAAATAAGCCAAATAAGCTTTTTTCTTCACAAAATGTCATTTTCTGTCACTGTTTGGATGTAATAAAACCACCAAAGATATAGCAGAAAACATGCATTTTCTTCTGTCACTGACAATAATTCTAACCTTGATATCAGGATTAGGCATAAAATAACATCATGCATGTGAAAATGGGCTGAGAATTGATCATACAGTTGTAATGTGGCTCAGATCCAGACAGGAATCGTGTGTTTGTGGTGTTTTTCTGCTGATTGAGGGAGAATACAAGACTTCTTCACCTTACAAATGGTTGTCGAAAGCAAAAATGCTACAAAATGCATCATATTTTGTGAGAAGGTGTGACAAACTCGAGCAAAACAGACACTCTTTTTGGAGTCAGCAGCACAAAATTAGTAAGAAACGAGTGTTGGGTTTCATTCAGTGAATCTGTTGCAGGCTGGTGTAGATCATTGATAGGGTGTTGTTCGCACCTCCATAGGATACTGCTCTCCATCGACGGTGTGTTCAGATCCAGGACCTCCGTTGGTGCCCCAGTGGAGGTGAAACTGAACGGCCTTGTATGTTTCTCCCAGGTTTCCTCCATACACTGTGGCTGTGATGGGTATACTGACCTGAACTGAGATGGAAAACACAACATTACAGTCCAGCATCACACAGACCAGTTTGTTTCTTCATCAGATTTGGAGAAATGTAGCATTGCATCAGTGTCTCAGCAATGGATGTGAATGGGTGCCGTCAGAATGAGAGTCCAAACAGCTGATAAAAACATCACAATAATCCACAAGTAATCCACACCACTCCAGTCCATCAGTTAACATCTGGAGAAGACAAAAGCTGAAACAAATCCAGCATTAAGACGTTTTTAACTAAAATACACTGAGTCCATAATCCATAATAACGCTTTCTCCAGTGAAAAAGTGCATCTCCTGTTGTTCTTCACTTCAAAATCTACCCACATATTTGTTTAGAGCTGTTTTGGCTTGTAAACGGTGCTTGATCTGTGCAGATTTCTCTCCTGATTCAGACCAGACCATTTTTTCACTGGAGGAAGAGTTATTATGGATTATGGACTTGGATTTTAGTTAAAGACGTCTTGATGATGGATTTGTTTCAGCTTTTCTCTTCACAAGATGTTAACTGATGGACTGGAGTGGTGTGGATTACTTGTGGATTATTGTGATGTTTTTATCAACTCTCATTCTGACGGCACCCATTCACTGCAGAGCATCCATTGCTGAGACACTGATGCAATGCTACATTTCTCCAAATCAAAATCAATCAAAAACATTTAAGGAGCTCAGCAAAGCATAACAAAAGAGACATTTCAAGCTACATGCTCTACATCAGACTAGATTAGTTTAGTTTTTGTCTTCAGCTGCTGTCTTACCCGAGTGGCCGTTGTTCTTCATGGTGCTGTCGAATACGGTCTGGTAGCCGGTGAATTTGAAAGGCGTCAGCCGCTCGTCCAGCTTGGTTTTCTTCGTCACTATGTTGATTGGTGACTGTCTGTTCTTCCCACAGTCTGCACTGACTTCACTCCATCGGTCTGGTCCTTAGAGCAACATGGAGAAGTTACGTTAGATTTAGTTTAGATACTGTAAACGAGCAAAGTGTCTAGAATGGCACATTAAGAGACAGAAACGGCACATAGAGGCTCAGTGTACCTTTACAGTGGGATTCACAGCTCACTTGTGTCTGGTAGCACCAGTCTGTATGAGTATAAAAGATGAGTTAGTAAACTGAAATGCTTTATTTAGATAATTTTGCATTAAAGCTTGATTTTCATCAATTTTATGCATCTTTTGTTAATCAATAATCATAATAGATCTTCTAGGCATAATACACTCCCGGTCAAAAGTTTGGAATAATTAAGATTTTTGCAAGAAGTTTTTGCAAGAAGTCTCTTCTGCTCGCCAAGGCTGTAGTTATTTGATTAAAAATACAGTAAAAACCGTAAAATTGTGAAATATTATTCCAGTTTAAAAGGTCTGTTTTCTATGTGAATATATAATAAAGTGTAATTTATTTCTGTGATGCAGCGCTGAATTTTCAGCATCATTACTCCAGTCTTCAGTGTCACATGATCTTCAGAAATCAGTATAATATGCTGATTTGCGGCTCGAGAAACATTTCTGATTATTATCAATATTGAAAACAGTTGTGCTGCTTAATAATTATGTGTAAACAGTGATAGACTACCATTCAAATGTTTGGAGTAATAAAAATAAAAATAAATACATACTTTTATTCAGGAAAAATAACACATTACATAGTTTTAAAGTGACAGTAATTAGTTTTATAATGTTATAAAATATTTATATTTTCAACATTGATAATAATAAGAAACACAACTTCAATGTAATAATTGAACACCAATAATAAATGATAGTAATTAAACACCAAATCAGCATATTAGAATGATTTCTGAAGATCATGTGACACTGAAGACTGGAGTAATGATGCTGAAAATTCAGATTTGATCAAAGAAATAAATTACATTTTAACATATATTCACATAGAAAACAGTTGTTTAAAATTGCAATAATATTTCAAAATTTTACTGTATTTACTGTAAGAATATTAGAATGATTTCTGAAGATCATGTGACACTGAAGACTGGAGTAATGATGCTGAAAATTCAGCTTTACATCACAGGAATAAATTACATTTTAACATATATTCACATAGAAAACAGTTGTTTAAAATTGCAATAATATTTCACAATTTTACTGTATTTACTGTATTTTTGAGTAAATAAATTCACCTTTGATAAGCAGAAGAGACTTCTTTCAAAAACATAAAAAAATTGTAATCATTCCAAACTTTTGACCGCTAATGTATTAAACAAGTTATTAATTCTAATGACTTCATTCTATTGACTCGTCCAACAGGAAAACCCCTCCCTGCCGCTCACAATGAGCGCAGACTATATTGAATTGTTATGAGAATTGTTGATAATGACAAAACTATCTTCATATTCTTAACAGAAGTAACTAACGGGATAATGTTTGAGTTCATATCGAGATCTTTGACTTTCAGTTGCAGATGTTGCTGCACATTTGAGACATTGCTGAGATCTAAAACGACTTTGGAAGTTGGCCAAACCTCTTTAAAGAGAAAGTGAGGTTAAAATACACGTCACACAATTGAGGAAGGTCATTTCTTGGCTAATGCAAGTGATGTTTCTCTTCCGCAAAGAAGTTATTCATTCATAAATTGATTTGGTGACCTTTCTTTGCCCTCTTTGTCAGAAAGAGCTCATATGATCTTGAATTGACACTGATGACAAAACATTTCATTAAAGGAAAGAATGACAGTAAGTGTCTTTGTGTTAAAAACTAACAAAACACTTCCTTCTGCATGTGATTTGTGTGTTTCTGTGACCTATTACTGGTATACTGAACTAGATAATGATCATATTTAATAGATTTGACTCTGTTAAGTGTGCAATAAAAACATTTTATTTTTAAATATGCATTTTTAATCAGAATATCAGCCCATTTGCATGTTCACATCCATTAAACACTGTGATGATTTATATAGAATAAAAACAACAAATTCTGCCTAAAATAAAATAATTAAAATGTCTTGCTTTTACCATCTCTTTATACATTTATCTGAGATTTTTATATATATTTTATACATTTTTTTCTGAGAATTTGTGCCTCAAAAAAAATTTGTAAAAAATAAATAATAAAAAACACAACATTACGATTAATGTATTTGAATTGCACATGAAATTTCCATGCATTAGCATTACACAGTTTTAACATAAACTAATAGATTTAATGTGATGCTAATGTGAATAACTGAATGGGTTTTAAATGCATATCATCAATAAATACAGTTTGTTTAAATAACTGAATATTGCTTGTTCCACAGCTAGTCATATTTTAACCATGTTAATACTTTTTAACCTAATAATATATTTAATTGTTTTCACAACAAACAGATTTATGCTGACACAGTTTTTGTTTTATCCAGCTGTATTTACTCAGTGCAACTTATAACATCCAAGTGAAAGATATAACACCAACATGTAATAAAAATAAATAATAAAAAACAGTATCACTGAAAAAGGATCAGCCCCCTCCTAAAGATGACTTGTAAACTCAATCAGGTGTAGCTCATCACCTTCTCAATGGCACACAAAGCCATCTGACTTTCACCTGTGATCAGCTGTGCTCATTTTGATCAGCTCAGCATGAAAAGAGCTTTCCTGCAGCATTTCAGACCTTGGTAGTGCAACTGAAGCAAACAATCAGCTATGAGTGGCAAGACACTGTCAAAAGATCTCCGGGATAAAGCTGTGGACGGGCACAAGTCAGGAGATGGAGACAAACATTTCAAATGCGAATAACGCAAAGTCTAGATGTGCAGAGTTAGTAGAGACAAATCCCAGCAGAATAAAGGCTGTAATTAAAGCAAAAGGTGGTTCAACAAAGTACTGACACAAGGGGGTGATGCTTTTTCCAAATCAGTGATAGTTTATTTATTTATTTTCATCTTCATTTCAGACGGCAAAGCAACAAAATGTGATTATTTTAAAGGTGGGTTGATTCTTTTCTATTCCGTGTGTGTGTGTGTGTGTGTGTGTGTGTGTGTGTGTGTGTGTGCGATATCGTAATTGTTGTTTTAACGATTTGACATTATCGAGTATTTTGCAAAAACCTTTCAAAACATTCCTACAGAGCGCACGCATGCATTACGTGAAGTCTAGACTAGTGCGCGTGGCGTGCATTTAGTGTGTTTTCTTTCACTGCATGATTCAGTCTATTAAAATGCATTTAGAATGATCACAAATTCAAAAGAAAATGGGGAGAGAAAACGTATAAATTTATATCATTTAATATAGTTAATCAATATCACGCAGAAAGTGCCGTTTTTTTCTCCAGAAATGACTGATCACAAATAGCCTATTGATTTTTTACAACAGTTCAAAGAAAAAGATGTTAATTAAGATACTTATGTTTTAGACATTTATATTTCCTGTTTTTGCTCTATTTTGACAACAAAAATAATTCCAAACACAGCCACAGCACAGTTTTGCGTCTCTGAGCAACATGACGGTGTTTCGTTCCTGAATGAATCAACCGTTTAAATGATTCGGTTAAATCGCAATAACTCACTTATTAACAGTGACTTGCTGCCACCTACTGGTGGTTTTAATTTCACATTTAAAGTTTCTTTTTATTATTTAGATAATTTCGAATAACAGTATTCAATGTTTTATGTTTAATATATCAAAACATTTGTATGCATTTGTAATTGCAGGTTTAAGCATTCATGTCCTGCACTAAACAGTAGTGTGTAAATACATCTAAATGCCACTTCAGACGCAGCTTCTGTGTTTCCTCTGCATTGCAAAGATGAATTTT